ATTAGCTATTTTTACGAAAACATTACCTAACTTCATCGTGAAATATTCGAAATGTGTGGCCGATAAATAACGAAGGACAAAGCTAGCTAGCTTCCCCTTAAGAGATATATACCTACGTCAACTCGTAATCAACTCGCTTATCGTAAACCCTCGATAGGATATCGAAGAAGTTCCAGATTAAAAGGAAAACTTTATATTGCTTGTAAGTTTGTGGAACTTTTGATTATAAATCATTGTTTGTAATAACTGTTATTGTAAATTGTATTGTTGTGTGTATATTAAAACGTATTTGTGTTAAAAGGAAAACTGTGAGTATCAATCTTGTTGGCAAATATCATAAACTGACTATATATCGACTTTAATTTAAATACTAAATCTAAAGTACAATTTAACTACTAAATTTAAATTATCAATTAACTCAATTTCAGACCATTTGAAATTCTAATACGTAACAGACAAAATACTGAATTTTATGTCTGATCCAAACAATCTTAAATTATGAAAACACTGTTTACAATGTTAAACTGTGAAATTTGTCATAAATAAATATTATTTCGATAATCTCAAGCACTTACTTCAGTTGCCTCTGGTTCTTTTGATGGCTCCGGTCGAATATCTTGCTCAATTACCAGGGTACCTATCGTCATGGTGGCTCCTTTACGTTCCGGTTCATTTTCCACCGGTTTCATAGGGATCGTATCCTCTATAGCTTCGTAGTCAAATCGGAATTGGGTAGCAGCAATAAAAGCACAGCCCATTAAAACAGAAAACGTGGCAAAACAAATTGTATAATTTCTTTCCCGGTAATGAGGTCCACATGGGTGATTCACAAAGGATGTGGAATGATCCAAAGCGACGCCAACAAAAAACATAGCCAGCCCCCAGCCTAAGGAACCAAACATTCTCTGTTTACCATAGTTATCTGTGTTATCCTCCAGATAAGTAAGCGTAGCTGTGTCAGCTAGAGTGATTGCTGGAGCACTGAAAAACTCTCCCAAAATAACAAGAAGCAATAAAAGAAAAAATACTTCCTGGACATCTTCGTATCTGTAAACTATTGAGCTATTCAAAGGAGAAATATAATTTTCGTGTTCCTTGCGGTTATAGTTCAGAGTGTACTGCACGTCATTAGGTGAAAGTCCTACTATGACATTTGGAGGTGGTTTGTGTCTCTCTTCCTTGTAAGTTGCTCTTCTATTTCTCCATAAAATTTGCTGCTTATAAGGTTTCTCTCCATCATAATTTGAGACTGACCAAACCTCTTCTTCGGATATGTTGAAAGCCAGATCTGAAAGATTGCTTATTTCAATCATTTCGCTCTTGTAAACACTGCGTTTTTCAAGATGTGTGCGAGGAGCGTAGAGCAGGTGATGCGTGTCGTTGTAGATGACACAAGAAGATGGAGGAGGATAGATGAAATTTAAAGCTAATGTAAAGACAATCCAACAGAACAATGAAAATAAGAGCATTATTTTTCCTTTTCTAAATCGATCAGCCAATCCTCCCCACAATGGAGCGCTGAGAAATTCGATAAAAGGTCGTAATCCTATAAGAAGACCACTCTGTATTGCGCTCATTCCCATTTGTTTAAAGTAAACCGCCAAAAGTGGGAATAAAGATCCAAAGGCTGAGAAGAAAAAGAAATAAAAAGTTTTGGAAACCAGTAAATCTTGGTTGACATTCGTGCACAGATTATCAATTATATCTCGCTTGGAGGAAAACTGTCTTTGGGAATTACCTTCCTCTCTTACAGGTTGTCTGTTTCGCATATTTGTTTGTAGCTCCATCTGATTGGGTGTTTGTTCTTCTTCTTCCTGTAGGCTCTTCATCTCTACCATTTTTTTAGAAACTCGCACAAATGGAAATTAAACCTTTCTCAGAGAAAATTAAATAGACGTTATAGCTGAACATAAAATGTCATCTCATTTTCTCAATCAAAATATTCAATGATTGTCATTCGTTTTGGAACAAGTTCTGTGTTTGGTCTTTTTTTTTTTTGGAACAGGTTCTGTGACAAGACCAGATTTCCCTCACATCCACTCCAGTATTGTTAGTTGATAGCTGTAATTTATAAAGAGGTAGTGGTGAGGTTCATAGAGCAAATAATAATACAAAGTTTTTCTTAACTGTCTTCGTAACTATCATTCGATCTTTACGCATCTTGATAAAAATTGATTAATTTAAATCCAGCCACAAAAGTTGAACAAAAGTAATATGAAATAAATAAATAAGCAATGCCATGATCAACAGACAAAACTTAACAACTTTAATTTTGTCTTGTTATGTTTCTTTTGAGAAAAAACGTTTCCAAAGCAGCCAGCATTATTGCCAATCTTGTAAAAAAGTAATCTAGCAACAAAGGTATGCTTTAATTAGGCACAACATCTTGACTGGAAGCGCAAGAACAAGGCAAATTCAATGTTTCAGCTCAGTTGAGTCGTAATGAAACCTGCGAGGCGGTTAACGTGGTGACATATTGTTCTTTTTGATAGGTCTAATTTTGTGGTCAAAAGTTGACAAACAATTCTGTAACTAACACACATACATGAGTAAAGAGGTATTTTATAACATAGTTCAAACTGTCAAAATGGTAGAATTGGTTAGGCAAAAAATATATATATAAAATGCTTATTATCAATTAAGAGCATAGTTCAGCATAGTTTAACAACAATTAAATGCAACAAGTGAATTCCATCATGCTGGATAAACTCTGCGGTTCAGACAAAATATTTCGCGTAGATTGAACAATAGTAGGAATAACAATAATTATATATGAATGTTTAGTTAATTTCAAATTTTATATTAACATAATAAATTTTACGTAACGTGCCAAAAATGATACTATAATAAGAACATCATTGCTTCACGTACATAAAACTTGTTTCCAAAAACAAATCTTATGCCATCTTAGGCCTATAAATAAAAAAACAACTAAAATGACAGGATGTGTACGAAAAAAAAAAGCCATGGTGATGGTCATCTAACTTGTTATTTCTTAACCTATTAAAATGCTTACTGTCTGTAGAGCTTCCTCAAAATAAAATCTGCATTGTGATAATCTACACACTAGAAGTGAACTCTTGTTTATTTGTTTGTTTTGAATTTCGCGCAAAGTTACACGAGGGCTATCTGCGCTAGCCGTCCGTAATTTAACAGTGTAAAACTAGTCATCACCACCCACCGCCAGCTCTTGGGCTACTCTTTTACCAACGAATAGTGGGATTGACCGTCGCACTATAACGCCCCCACGGCTGAAAGGGCGATCATGTTTGGTGAGACAGGGATTCAAACCTGCGACCCTCAGATTGCGAGTCAAGCGCCCTAACCACCTAGCTATGCCGGGCCGTAGAAGTGAACTCAATATCTATGAAAAAGCATTCTACTTATACGGTTAACATAATTTTTGAAACCCTCACCGCAGTTATGGATAACACCAAATTAGCACTGGAACTGTTAAGGGATCACCTATCATCAATTGTCTTGAGTTCAATCATTTGTCTTATAGATCGTTATGATATCTTTTGTTAGAATATTTTTCTTTCAACGACATCCTTTGGGACTTGCCCTATAAATTTTTATTTTATAGAAATTTGTATCAAATTTAGACAGCTGTTGTAATTACCCAACTAAATAATAATAATATCTGATGATGACAAAACCTTGTCGAAACGTTGTACATTTGCTGTTATGTTAAATTTATATTAAAGTTTTTCTTCCTTACCCATTCAAGCCGTCTCCAAACATTATTAGTCTCAAAGTGGGTTCCTCGTCATCGAATAATAATACGACTGTTTTTTTTTTCATAACTTAACATTTTGCTTGTAAACATTCAGCAGGAGGTTCATTCTTATAATATTTGTAATGCCCTCATTTATTTAAAAATGATTCTCAATTCTTGATTATTTTATTTCTTTCTGAAATATAATTTAACCGTTTTCCAACTTAGAGAATTTTCCTTAATAGTAGATTTGGCGCATCTGTTTTACATATGACTTCATTCAAAAGTTTTTGTATAATGTTTAAGTTACACAACTGCATTTAGTTTTTAACAATTCTGCTTGTTTTTTGTTGTTGTTGTTTGCTGTTATTTTTTCACATATTGGTATAGTCTGCACTGAATTATTCTTTGCGTTTTCAAACGAACAACAATAACATAGGAGCGTTTTTTTCGTAATAAGATATTTTATCAACTCGCTTTGGCTACATACAAAGAAATGGCTAATCTTATTAAAAGTTTGGACCAATAACAAATTTTGATATATAACAAAAACTAAAATAAACAACATAAATTCTTCTTGAACTTCACACAACGCTACACGAAAGCTATCTTCTCTGGCCGTTCCTAATCTTTAAGTAATAGACTAGATGAAAGGCAACTAACAATACCACCCATCGTCAACTCGTGGTCTATTATTTTTGAGCCGAATAGTGGGATCTGACCGTCACTCTTATAATGCACCCACGACTCCAAAGTAAGGATCACTTTTATTTTTTGTCAATCGAATTTGTGATTACCACTTTTCTATAGTCACTTCTATTTACCGGTTATTGACTTCGATTGTCAGAAGTCTTCAGTATGTTTGCAAATTTCACAGTAAAGCGGGAGTGCCCCCCAGTGGCACAGCGGTATGTCTGCGGAGTTACAACGCTAGAATCCGGGTTTCGATACCAGTGGTGGGCAGATAGCTCATTGTGTAGCTTTGTGCTTAATTACAAACAAACAATCAAGCGGGAGTAGCGCATATTGGAGATAAAATACACTCATTTGTCATTAACCAGGTTTCCAAGAAAACACAGCAAAAATAAGTTCTGGTAAGTAGGTTAGAGATTACTGTTTATAAGCTGCAATATTTTATTAAACATACATGTCACAGAAATAAGGAGTTCAGTCAAAGGCTGATCATAAAACTTTTAGTAAATATTTTTCTGCCAATATACTTTGAAGGATTTCAGCATAAGTATTCAAAAAAGTGACTATACCTATATACACCCTAACGCGATATGTTTGACGAGAAACTAACTTGTACTAAAAGTGTTGAATTGTGCATCGCACAGAAATGAAACCTGACGCTCAAAATAAAATTGCTTATAAAGTTATGAAGTACATTAGCGAATCATATATCTTACATAGACTTTACACATGTTTACGCTTTGGTTTATGGCTCTAGCTTTGTAAAATACAGCGAAGAAATATACCACAACGCCACTATCATGTAATATGTCCTCCAGTGGCACAGCAGTATGTCTGCGGACTTATACCGCTAGAAACCTGGTTTCTATACCCGTGTTGAGCAGAGCACAGATAGCCCTTTGTGTATCTTTGTGCTTAATAACAAATAACAACAATCATGTAATATTCATCATGTGACGTTAAATAGTCCCTCTAGTCAAAATAATGTCATCGTCTAAGTTATAAGACCTCTCAGCGTACAACACTGCTCCCTCCCTTGATATTTAAGTCCTGTGAACATTCAATACTCAAAGGAAATAATGGTACATTAAAGATAAACTTTCATTGTTGAGAATAAAGGAACAATTAAAAAATCAATATTCATAAAGGTATTGCAATCGTTAATTGAGAAAGTACAATCAACATTTTCATTAAAAAAATATTCTATCTTTACTTATTTACTATCCTAACCTTTCTAGACATTAAATCGTTTTGGAATTTTTATTTTCAGTGGCTGATGATACAAAGAAAGTATGACCTATTGACCTTTATTAACACTTGTTTGGTCACTGGGAAAGTTGTCTTCAGATAGACGGTCGAGAGAATCCACTGGTGTCTTGATACTTGGTGATACTCTGAAAATGGTCTCGACAGGATTTTCGGGCTCTTCATCAGATATATTTACATTTGGCAAAGTCTTCTTCAAAGCTAATAATTTGACCACATTCCTAATGGCATGCTTCCAAAGATAATCACGATTGGTGCCCTTTGGTCTGGACAACCTTTCTTTTTGGATTCTCCTCTATTGCACTTTAGGTTGGTTGTCATCGTTATCTTTTGCTTCTATCCTTGTTGTCACTGAGAATTCAACCTCTAGTGTTGTAATTGTCATGTAATGCCAATATATTTGCTGATCATAGAGTGTAAAACTGTTCAGAGCTATCCTAACATTATATCTATGTTTCCACATGAAGTCTATGCACAATATGCCCCCTTCTTCAATGGAAATTACCCATACTTTATGTTATATAGAGAAACTTCCAATCATAAGGATGCAGCATGACTTGCTGGAGCTTTACGTCCACTTTCTTTGTTGGAGCTTTATGTCCATTAACCATTAAGACATGCACTTACCATGTAACATCAAAAACTCTCTCTCTCTAGCCAAAACAATACAATCGTCTAAGTTAAAAAAAGAACATAGTCTACAATTATGGAAAATATTTTATGCCAAAATTACAAACAACAGACAGTTTATTAAATAAACAACAAATGGCAAATACGAAGTTAGCCTACACGTTCACTTTCATGCCACTATTTAATCGATATTATTGGTTGTAGTAAAATTGAAACTAACACAGCCCCATCGTAGCCCTACACTACAATATTCAGACGTTCTTTGTAGGACGACGTATTCGGCAAATTTATGATATAAGATTAAAGCGCCATTCCAAGCTATAAATAAAGAGTGCACTCTCACATTTTCTTGTTGGTTAAAATAAACACAACGTTTTCACGAAATTGCCATTTTTAAGCTGTCATATTCTTTCATTCAGTACCAGTTTATTACCAATCCGTGATGGATTAAGACATAATGGAAATGAAAGTGCCCACTAGCATTGTTTGACACAATAGTCTTTAAAGAATCAAAATATAAAAAAGCAAACGAGAAATGTAGACATAAGCAAGTGAATTACTTAAGGTAGCAATACGTGAATATATGAATATTTTTTTCCTTATTTCTACCAATATTTATTTAATTATTCCTTCATTTATTAATATTTTGTTTATTTCAGCATAAAATAGTCTCCATATACAACAGTTTGATAAGGCATAAGTCACCTGAAGGCATATTGGATCAAACCTTACAATGATGTTTATTGTTTATGAAACTGGTCAAGCTCTCCATTTTGAACATATACTTCACATTTTCATTGCATACACTTATTTCACTAGTTTCAGACGAGTTGATCAACAAATATACACATATATCAAAACAATACACGACAACTACAAAGAACAATTAAAAAATATTTCTTGAAGCTTAACAAATATTGGTCCTTTGTATGCGTTATCATTCACAGTACGGAGTAGCTCAATAAAAATATACCCATTTGATAGTTTGGGGCAGAATAAAAAACTTTTAATGAAACTACCATATCTCTAAGCACTGTGATGATATTAGTCACTTAATACTATTTTATTTGCACAAGACATAAGTTTTTTTTTCTTTTCGAACGTATTCAAGTGCTGAGGAGTTCAAAATCTCGCAAGAATGTTATCTTTGTTTCCGTATTGTTCATTTGTTGACTAGTAAATATAGCACAAATTAACTACAGCATAGCTTATTTTGAGTCGTCACACTGTCAAATTTTAAAAAAAATAATATTATGTATGTATATGAGTTCTGGTTTATTTTCTTTTTTTGCCAATTGTCGAAATAATGGCTTTTACTTATATTTCTTAGTAGTATAAACATATACTATGTTGTTGTTAGGCTTAGGATTCTTCTACAGTAGGTGTCTGTGACTTTTTAGCAATAAATTCAACAATTAATAAACAGCACACTTTTTACTTGTTTTCAAATAATATATATATTCAGAACAGGTTAAACGTGTGTACAATACAGTATTCACACTATAGAGAATATAAGCATATCGTAAACGTTATATCAGTATATGTATAATTCTCCTCTTCTTGTCAAAAGTCCACTTAGGCCTGTTCAATTACTTTAGAATCTCAGTTGAAAAGCCGAACTATTTAATCTAATACTATCGCAATATTATTCTGGTATGATTCACTTATGATTGTGGTCTTCTTTCTTCTGAATATCCTATGTTCCTTTTGTCAAAGTGCATTCAGGCTGATTCAGTTACTTTAGAATTACACTTTCACGGAATAAAATTATTTTTTCTTATTTCCTTTTCCACTGTTAATTTCACTCTAATATATATAACATTATGCCTATGTCAGTTGTTAAGCCTATCACTTTTACATCACTTAACTTCACACCAACTATATTCTCTTAGCTTTTATCTGTCTAATACTGTCTGTCTGCTGCTTCCCGCTAGTCTCACGTTATTTATATCTTTAGTACATAGTCGTATGGTCACTTTCTATATTCTCGACACCAATTAGGCATTAACAAAACCTTCTATAATTGTCTGCTTTTAACTCTTATTATAACAAAACTTAAAAATGATAAAATATTCACTCACAAATATAAATTAACCACTAATATTTAAACCAAACAGTCTTTTATATCATGACACACATAAACACATGTTACCGATACTGATTTTATACAATGCTAACGTCTCAAAATATTGTAAATGCAATAGACAGACACGCTTGCAATGGCGCCTGCTAAGCCTTGTCCATAAATTCAATATAATTAATTTTAGTTGAACTAATGACAGTATTTAGTATTCGAAAATTTAGTCTTTAATTCGTCGTAATATGAGCATTATTATTCAATACAAGTTAAGGTACCTTAAATTAAAAGTTGCAAAATATTGATACTAATATATGTATTTAAAGTGTTATTGTTATTTTTTATGATATATTAATTTAAGAATGAAATCATACGCAATATTTTATGGTACGCAGAGTTTACCACTCATAGAATATCCTAATTCGTGGAGACATCTTCTAAGTTTCGATTTTATTTATTTATTTTTTAATCAAGACCCACGGTGGTGTGTCGTGCGGCCAAAATAACATACAGGACACACTGCGTATTATTAACAGGAGTTATAGTTTAGCAATTTTTCACTTTCTGTAGCTTGGACTGTGGTAATTCAAACTATTGCATATTTTCAGGGCTCTACTGGATCCTTACTTCACATACCAAATTTCAGGGCAATCCATTAAGAAATTTACGAAATATAAAATCTCCAATTTTGATTGAATTTTTGCTTATTTTTGTTTTCCACGCACCGAAAGTACCGAAATGTTATTTGATGAAAAATATAATTAACTTTCAATGATTTTTTTGTATATGGTACAGTGATAAATATTTATAACCTACAATTAAGTGTTAAATTTGGTCTAAATATACGTCACATGTGCATAGTTATTCAACAAAAAACTGCTCAATTTTTACCAAAATATTTGCGTACGCCTACGCAAAAAGTCATGTGAGTTATCGGTCTAAAAGTTTTACTACAGCTTCACCTAAGAGTAAAGATGGACAGTTTTCAGTCTTTTGTCATTTGGATTAAAGTCGGCTAATTTAGAGCAGCAAAACTATAGGGTGAAAGCTTGAGCAGATACATAAGTATTGGTTAAGCCAAGCAAACTAGATTAGCGGTTTCTAGCTCGAGTTTTCAAAAGAATCCCGTGGGAGGACGGTAATTATTCATTATTCATAGCCAACTTTTAAGCACAGATTTTGTCATCATCAGGTACGAAACCTTGTCGAAACGTTGTACATTTGCTGTTATGTTAAACTCACATTAAAGTTTTTCTTTATTACCCATTCAAGCCGTCTCCAACCATTAGAAGTAATAATTTCGAACGCATTTATGGTATACAAGAAACCCATATCTTCATTTCTGCAGGAATTTCCTATACAAAAGTTACTAAAGCTAGATCACTAAGAGATCATACTGCAGTATGGAAATAGATATATCTCACAACAGCAAACTAGAAGACTATGTATAGTTTTGTAATATAAATATACATATATATATATATATGTGTGTTTGTGTAAAATAATATGTGTGTGTACATATATATATACATACATACTTCTTTGCTATAAATTACTAATTTTTTGATAAACTAACCTTCCTTGATGAACCGAGTAGTGGAGTAGTGTTTTAGACGAATTCAGTACTTGGAAGACTGTCGAACTGGAATCCAAACAGTTCGCATTAATCGGTCGTTTGTCGTTGATATTAACTAAAACGTGAAGTTGAAATTTATCATTTACTGAAAATATGTACTTATAACTATCAGACCAGTAGTAAACTGGTCCGTTCATAGCCCTTTTAGAGATTACATTAAACATGACATTGGTTATAGAAACTGAATTAAAAGATAGCGGATTGTTTCTGTTGTAGTCTTTTAAGTTACTCTGGGGTGCAGTTGAGAGCAGAGGCCATTAACGACATATTAAACAAAATATTATTGTTCTAAAAATATATGTACATCTCATGTTCATAAAAGGATTGATTACTTACTTTCTATTTAATCTTAATTTCAACAGATAAATCATTAAAAGTACAGTTAAAAGATAAATAAGTGTATAAAAAAATGCTTATTATCCAGTATGTAACTGCCAATAAGAAGGTAGTTTTATTCCGCCTAATGAAGAGGAAAATTCATGACCCCCTTCTCATTTTGCCGCACCATTGATTTTGCACAGCTGTGTGGTCTGACAGTAAAAACGAGGAAAATCGATATATAAGCAGTGTCTATTCAGCTTCGCTGCCTGAAGTCCTGTAAGGAGTCGGCTTCACATAAGTCTTGTAGGGAAAAGACATTTACAGGGGTACACTCACATAGAACCCGTGTGAATACTAAATAATTAACCTCTATTTCTGTTCAACAAATCAACAAGAAATAAATGTATAATGTTGTAAAAAGCAAGGAATAGGGGGAACTTTCTTTTTAAGTGATTAAAATGTGATTAGTGAGAAGAAATCATGCATTGTATTCTGAGTTTGGTCACTGGCTGTTTTTTTTTTCTTTATAATTTCAAGGTGGGTTTAGGCAGTGTGTTCGACTTACTGACTTTACTTTTTCATATCTGTTTTGAGATAATGATTTGGGATTCACACTAATTAAGGACAGGAGCTTTATGCAGAACATAGGCCCAGGGACTAACTCAGATATTATGAAAAACTGAAAGTATTGAACGCTTTATCTCAAAATCAAATAAAAAAAGCAGAAGAAACTCATAAGAAAAAAAACATTCTACTTAAAATTCATGCCTTTCATTTATTAAACATACTAATAGCTCGTCTTCAGTGTTGATTAGTGGTACGCATTTACTTCCGAATTCACTATATAAAAGTCAAATTATCCTAAATGCAGAGTAAACAGTTAATTGTAAACATGAAGATATATTTTTGCTATTAATATGCCATTTATTTATGTAAAAATAATAATATTTCTCTTCCGTCAGTTGGGTTCAAACACCTATATATACATACATACACATACAAATTATAGGACAATTCATAAAAGATCCGTTAATCTTCTTATACTTACTGTCAAAAAGTGTTTACCACGACTGAGCTTCATTCAATTCAAAGGTAAAAACATGTATTATGCAGAATAGTACCGCGGATTGGGACTTCAGTATGTGGTAGACTTAAAGAAAATGCGGGGGGAAAAAGAAAGTGATTGAGAGTGTATATGTGATTCACCATTCAAGTGAGAATTTTATTCCAAAAGCCGCGGTTTTTGTAATATTAATATCACACATGGATACTTTGTAAAACTATGATAACAACAAATAGATAAGTACATTGGTTTCGTTTTTAAATGAGTGAGTTTATGAAAATAACACTAATTTCAGATTTAGCTATAAAAAAATGAAGGATGGATACAACATAGTTTGACTTGTTTGTATATTCATATTCATTATATCTATAAAGCTCGATCAATTAAATTAATCACAAGTTAATATGTTGATTTCAAATCACTTTAACGTACCATATAAAAATACTGTTAATTAGGAAATTTAATAATGAGTTTAATAGTGTTCTATTGAACTAAATACACTTCTTTAAAGTTAAATAAGTTTCTCTTAACCTGAAAGAAAACATAAAAGGATTTACGAAGTACGTAAAGACAAATTTGAATTTGAATGGCCGCAAGATATTCATAGTCACAAATATATATAAACATGAGCTTTTTTGAAAGTTTTCTGTTTATTTCACAGTAAAAGGAAATGTTGGATTATTTTTTTTCATGACATGTCCTTATATTATGAAATCAATAACAAAAAAAAATAGATAAATTGTCTTTTTAATATGTTTGGATTACAATTCTTGAATTGGCGTTTTATCATCTTTTCCTTATAATGAGGTTTAAATATAGAGTTATATATAAATAGCCTTATCTTCAACTTTTCCAAAAAACAACTTTAACAACCGTTGTTTAACTTCCCATAGAACATTAACGTTGTTATTAGTGCACAAAATCTATTATTATTACACATATCTTTACATATTCTGTTAATTTGTAAGTCTCTGTCCTAAAAGTATACAAACACGTCACGTCTCTTAATTAACGTCCTATCTGAATTACTCGTTACCATTACAGTAAAAGAAAAGTTAAATACACTGTTATCTAAATAAAGCTGGTACAAGACCTGGCTAAAGATTTAATAGACAGGCTTCTCCTTTTCAACTTGTGCATTTTACTATTTATGTGTGATACATGTATATATAAGTTTAGACTATTGATTTTTCGATATGTTATATATATATATGTGTGTGTAAGTTCTCGACACTCAAACAATGGAAAAAGAGACCTGAATAATGTGAGTACTAACAACAGTGGCAAGTTTTCATATTATTTAAAACTAACGAAAAGGTTGCTCAATCCTGAAAAGATTGATAACCCTTAACTACAAGACTTTCTTACCTCCGGTCTTTCTTCACCTTCATCTACACTCACCGATAATGGCCAAGGTAGAGAACGCGGAAGACTACAACAAGAACTCGTAAAACTGATTATGAATAGAGGATTACTCAAGACTGTGTGAGGGATTTCGCAAACATAGAAAATAGTTCCTAAAAGCCACAAATACAACGATGTTTTCATTCAGACATTCTACAATATATATAGCTTCAAATACATAAAACTTTTTCTATTTATTCATTGTTGATTTCGTATTGTTTTCATGGCATTAAATCTTGTTGAATCGCTAAAATTATTACGAACTGTTAACTGTGTTGCCGATTAGATAAACTGACAATATGGTCGATAGGAAACCAACATTTCGAAAACTATCGCCCTCTATGTCTAAGTTTGCAAGTTAATTATTGCTTTAAAACTTTTTAACTCTACAATTATATATGGGGTACACGGCTTAAAAAAATTAAACTATTTATGGTCTAAGTTATTTTTGCTGGTTAATAATATATGATTTATATAAAAAGTGTAAACAAAAAACCGTTAATATTGCAGTTAAAACCAATAATCCTGCAAGAGTCTATTTTGTATTTTGTATAAATATGGCTGGTTTCACCCCATTTTTAGGATCAGTACTTTATGCTGAATGGTGCAACAGGCAGAAACATAAAAATACTCAATATGATGCAATCTACGGATCGTATTGGTTGTGAAGTTATAACAAGTCAGTAGTTTGAAGGTTAACGAGTGGAAAATTAACGAGACACTAAGCCTAACATTGTAAGTCGTTCGGAATGAAATATTACTATGCAAGATGCTTCCTAAAAGCAAATTACCTAAACTAACTATGAACGAAATTGTAAGACCTATTTATGCTAGCAGCCGTAAAAAAAAAGAATAAATTACTAAACCCTTATACATTCTATGAATAAAAATCATAAATTCGAATGATTTTCAACTGATAAAAATCTAGTAATCATGTGGTATTCCCAGAATCGGAATAGAAGCAGCATAGGACCACTTGATTATCGTAATCAGTATGGATTCGAGGACTTAATATGTGGAGGGACAAGCGTAGTGATTCGGGTATAAATGAAAAAGAAAGAACTCTAGATGAAGAACAGATAAAACACTCTCCTTATTGACGAAGGTGTAACTAAAAGTTAGATGACTGTGGTCCATGTTAATGCAGACAAAATCAATTATATAAACAAACCTCGTAATTAAATGAAAATAACATGCTATGTTCGAAAGAGAAATTAAATAGAACTGTGCTGGCCTGAACTGGATTCAAACTATTTATTAACTTAAGTTAAAAGAAGAAACATAAGTTCGACAGTTGTTTTGCATTTCTAACAAAGAATACGACGGCACTTCACCGGCACGTCTTAGCTCTTTCAAAGCAGAAACGAATTTCTGAAAGCTCCAAAACAGCTGTCAAAATTCACATTCTCTCGATAGCTGATCAATCACAAAGTATATCTCAAGAAGCCGGAAATATCTCTGCTTTAAGTGACAATCGTAAAATGCTCACATTCTCATACTGATAACGGATACAATACAACTATCCCTAATACCTGGAGGTGAATTAGCATATAAATAAGGTCGGATTTATCGAGTTTTGAACGAGAACTCTTGGAAAATGTTACAGTTTTGCTATATCTTCACACCACAAATGACAAAAATGACAAGATAATGACAAAATTCTGAAATTCTAAGTTTTAAATTATGTATTAGACTATTAAACCAAAGGTTTTGATTGGTCTTTGAAAGTATCGTACTAACGCAATGAACAGCAGTGATATATGCAGATACTTATAATGTCAAATCAGAACACACACACAAAACGTTTTCATTTGGTGCAAAGCTACACAAAGGCTATCCGAGTTGTGTTCAGCGCGGCGATCGAGCCCCTAATTTTAGTGTTATAAGTATTGAAGCTTACCGCTGATCCACCTGGAAATAGAAAAGTCAATTATTGTTTAGAAAAAGAAAATAGTTGATAGTTTAGCCATCGGGTAACTCTTCATGATGCTATAACTCCTTTGTTTTTAATAACAAAAATACATCTAAACATTTATTTATAAGACTGTAGAGAAAACAAGAGGGAATCCTCAATGACAGTTTAGGCAGGATTAGAGTAAATTAATCTACGAGACCTTTTTTTTTTTTTTCCTTTTTAGTAGCTAGATTTTTGTGCTCCAGCAATACCAAGCGTGGGGCTCGCTTATACCTTATTATACTCGCTTATTACTCATCAGGATCTCTACCAGCCTACCCTTAAACTGAAATTCTTTTAAAGAGGATTAATCTATGAGGCCTTGGTCACGGTCAAATAAATCAATCGAAAGAAATGGTTTGACCTCCTGAGTCCACTGTTGTAATTAGATCTTAAATCGGTCAAGAGATGATGGAGTATGAGCTAAAAGTTTGTACTTGAAAAAATACAAAAACAAAAACATAGTGCCCTTCTACGAGCCGCTATGCCGCGACTAAAAAAAAAAAAGAGTCAAACACAATATTTCTGTAACTGTTTATTTTTTACTTTAGTATACTTTTGTTAGTCAACAAATATTTATAAGTTAGTAATTTACATTATTTTAAAAAGATGTTCTTTGTAACTAAGATAGATATTAAATGTTAGATAGCGCTACAGTCATGCTTTTAAAGATTACTACATGCGATAACAAATAATTCTAATATCTAGTTAAAATGTGTATGAACCAGATACATTCATGATAGTAAAAAACACTTAGGGTCAGGAAGGTCTACCTGTCAAATACGCTAGTGCTTTATGTATTTTTAAACATGACCCAGATACACGTGTACTGTCAGTGAAAGTATGAAACAAGTAATTTAAAACCTTATAAATATTTCCATTTTAAGATCTAAAGATTGTAATATTTATTGTTAGAACTAGACAAGCCCCCAAATAGCTCACAAGTAAGTCTTAAGGCTTATAACACTAAACATCTGGTTTTGATACTCGTGGTGGGCACTTCACAGGTAGCCCATTGTGTAGCTTTGTACTTAATAACAAGCAAAAACAACTAGACAAGAATAAATCATTAGAAAGTGTAAGTACAAATATATAACTTGACATATTTAGTATTTTACCAGTAGAGTAGGGATCTAGTGGACGTGGGTACTCGCGTCCATCACGCATGACTTTTTCGAGGCTCCTAGAATTAGTTTTCTACGCCATTTTGCTTCTTTTGGATGCTTCTCAGACGCGCGTACCCGTTCACGTATCCCCAATTGATTTTTTGTTTTTGCATAATTTTGAAATCATGCTAAGGCAAATACATTCTGAGTACGCCAGCTTTAGAATGTTGGTGCACTCAATCACACATTGCTTCAATGTGCATCAATTACTGTGCAGCGTGTTTTAGTACTGTATCCATAGGTATATGGTTGAAAGATGATTTTGTTTGGTTTATTTTTTCATTGAGAGTCCAAATTTCTTGTAAGCGTTTGCATGTCAATAGGATTATGGACGATTATCACACAGTCACTGAAGATCATTGAGGACGATAGGGGTAACTTTGGTTCTGGCCTTCAGCCGTTGCAGGTTGAAAAGCTTGCCTCATAACGATAATTAAGTTGTACGCCAGCAGAAAGGTCATTTTATACAAGAAAGAAAATTGCTGACAAGTATAGGTTGAAGAAAGTCGGAATGATTACACATCTTTGCTTCACGCCTGTGCAGATTTTAAACGCATCAATTTGAGAGTTTTGACAGAGTATAGAAGCAGTCCTGTATTCATGAAGGAGTCTCAAAATTCGGATGAACCTTCCAGGGCAGCCAAGTTTGTCAAGAATTTTCCATAATACTTCACGGTTGAGGGAATCAAATGCTTTGGTCAAATCTATAAAGCTCATGTACAAATTCTGGTCTTGCTATCTACACTTTTCTTGCACTTGGCATGCCACAAAAATCACGTCAGTAGTTCCATGAGAAAATCTATAACTACACTGTGATTTAGGGATGGTTCCATCAGCTATTGAAGATATTCTCTCTGCCAGGATGAAGGCCAAGATCTTTCCTGCAATTGGTAAAAAGGAAATGCCTCGATAATTTCCGCACAGGAATTTGTCGCCTTTTTTGAAGATAGTTTGTTTATTTGAAGTTAAGCACAAAGCTACACAATGGGCTATTTGTGCCCTGCCCACCACGGGTATTGAAACTCGGTTTCTAGCATTGTAAGTCCGCAGACATACCGCTGTGCCACTGGGGGCTTGAAGATAGTCACAATATATCACCATTGCGCAAGTCAGATGGTATTTCCTCTGTAACCCATATTTGAAGATGAGTTGATAAAGTCTCCAAATCAAGAGTGTTCCGCCATGTTGAAAGATCTTGGCAGGGATTCCATCTGGTCCGCAGGTCTTGTTGAATATCATCTTTTTCACAAAGGATTCTATTTCAGTTTGGGATGGAGATTTGTTCAGTTGTTCCTTTGCTGCTTGCTGGAGAATGTCATCATAGATAGGCTCTTCAATTGTGCTGTCCCAGTTCAGGAGTTGCTCGAATTGGTCCTTCCAGTGTCTTTTGATTTAATCAACGTCCTCGAGGAGCAAATCGCCATCGGCTGAGCAAATCAGAACTAGGCCATGGTATTGAGGGCTGTGAATTTTCTTCACAGCTTGAAAAAAGCTGCACAAGTCGTGTTGATCGGCAAATGTCTCGAGTTCCCTAGATTTGTCTTTCTACCATTTGTTCTTGACGTCTCGGATTTTACGTTAGACGTCAGCCTTGATTTGTTGGTACAGGCAGTGCTTTTTCATGTTGTTAAAGTCATTTTGCCAAGATACATTTGCTCTTTGTCTCAGATCGAGTATATTGGCAATTTCGGTGTCGTTTTCGTCGAACCAATCTTAGTGTTGTCATTTGGAGAAGCCAATCGTCGCGGTTGCGGCATTATGAACTGAATTTTTGGTGTTTTCCTAGATGTCATCGATGGAGTGACTTCCAGGAGATTTCAAGAGTAAGGTGTTGAGTGACTCTTGAATCTGCTGTTCTTTGGTATGGTCCTTTAGGGCGGCAACGTGTATCCTTTTCTGGGCATGTTTCGAAGAATTTCTGTTTCTCGGTGGTAGAGATATGTTCATCGTAGCTCACACCAGATGGTGATCAGTCCAACATTCTTCAGTTTCCGCCATAGTTCTTGTGAGTCTTACATCTCGTATGTCTTTTAATAACATAATCCAAGAAGTGCCAATGCCTGGATCGGAGATGATTTGATGTCATTTTGAATTTGTTTTCCTGCCAGAAGATTGAGTTGGTAGTCACTAAATTGTGTCCTGAATATTTGGTCAGGAG